ACTGTTAAACCATGTTTAACCAAACAACTAACAAAAATTAAATTCATCTTAAAATCTGGAACAAATAAATATCTTTCAAAACCAAAGTTCTATAATTATCAAAAGATAGAACAACTTGTCCTACTACTAATGCAGACACAAGCTTCCCATTTCCAAGCTTCAAAACTCTATGTCCTTGACTAATAGGCAAGCTATGTTTAAACCACTACAAAGAGTAACAAACACGGTTAGTGGTTCCTAAATCAATGATACATTTATCATTGTAATTCTCCACTAAGAAAGCCTCACTCAAAAGTAAATTACCCATACCTGGACAGTTCACACGTGGGCAATTTTTCTTCCAATGCCCATTTTGTCTACACTTGAAGAACTTTCCTTTTGACTACTTCATTGCAACTAGTTCGGCAACTGGAATACCTGATCTTTTCTTCTTCTTGTTCTTATTACCTCCCTTGGTTTTCCCCTTAGGTTTAACAAAACTCTCAGTAGCAAAAAAAGCACTTCCTTGCTTAACCAGAGACTGTTCAGCACTCTCAAGCTCGTGCATCAGCTGAGTAAGATCCAAATTTATCTTGTTCATGTTATAATTCTTTTTGAATTGGATGAAGTATTTAGGCAGTGATTGCAGAAGGAGGTCAACTTTTACCTCCTATTCAAACTTAATCTTATGGTCATCCGCTCATTTGAATTTTTCTATCATTGTCAAACAATGATCTCGCATACTTTCTCTGATCATCACGGTTTTAGTGACCGCAGTCAGTGCATTCTGCCTTGTAGAACTGATAGAAGTAGCAAATATGCCATCAAGAGTCTTGAACATTTCTGTTCCATTCTTAATCATTCTCACTTTCTCCTGTAGGGGATTTGCGAGACTAGCCAGAATATAGCAGCAAACTGCAACATTTTCCTTCTCCCAATTTGAAAATTGCGTCTTAGTTGCCTCAGGCGCATTTTCTACAGGCTATGATGGCTTAGGGGTAGTAAGGACAAAGTTGAGCTTTTCATATTGCAGAACAATATCCAAATTGGTTTTTCATTGTTTGTAGTTTGTACCATTCATAGGCTTTTGACTCAAAATAGTGGCTAAAGGGTTTAAAGATGACATTTTCTGAAAAAAATGCAAAGCACTTATTTTACAAACAAGAAATGCAATAAGCAGATTAATCGCAAGTAGATTCTAATAACTACTCATTGTTTATTGGTAACAATCCTTCAGTTTTTCTTTACAAGGCTTACGTCAGGCAAGTCACTTATAAAAATTAAAATTGTTACTTCGGCCTTCGGTGCCATTACTAGAGCCTCGCCGGAAAAGTTAATAATTTTACCAAAGTTGAATGTAATTAACCATTGTTTAATTTCAAAATTATACTTAGTATCCAAGTATAATACCTTACTAAAATTTTGAAATTATTAAGGTTCAATCAAATACATGTTTATCTGTCGGGGCATCACATGGCCATTTTATTAATAGACCCACAATAGAGCCCGTAGGTTTCAAAATTAATTACTTAATTTAAAATCTTCACCCATTCAATGTTTTAAAATTTAGAATTTTTCATTTTCCAAGAATTGTTCAATTGAGAGTAACCTTTGTTTGATTTCAAAAAGTATGCAAGCACGCGTGACGATGAATATGCATCGCTTAGCTTATCGACATTTTAAAATCATTAAGGTCCTAAAATTCGGTCATGATAGGCAGCATGTGTTTCACACAATCATGATACATGATTGTAGTATGCAGCACGTGTTTAAAACATGACCATTTTAGAACACCCGCAAATTACTTACAAATAGACAATTCTCTTTGGGAATTTTCTGGATTATTTGTCTAGATTTTGGTTATCTAAAATTAATTAATTCAATTATTAATCTAAATTTTTTAAGAAAAATCATAATAATTATTAATTAATTTTTGAGAATACTATAAAAAATAAAATAATCTCATAATAACTATCATACTAGTCACTGAAGACATAATAGCTACTATGCTCATATAATTAACAAGTTATACAACAATATGGCATCACCCATTCTATATGGCATGTTATCACATCATATAATTCTTTCACTCACAAAAATAAAGCAAGTGTAAATTAGACTTTAATTCATGGTTTCCTAGAGAAAAATAAAATAAAAATTAAAAACAAGACAAAAAGAAATTCTTCAGTCCTTTTTGTCCTTCCATTTGGTCCACAAGGATTCAAGCTCCTTTATGGTAAACATGGGCCTAAAATACTAAACTTTGGCAAGAAGCGCTAATCTCCTTCGTGGAAACCCTAGCCGTCACACCCACATATGCCCTTTTTATGTTTGTGTGTGGCACCCATGTGCAGCCACTTCTAGTGATGCTTGAGGGAGAGTCCAGCCTCCTTTCGGCCAGAATCGGTTGTCTTCCTGCTCGATTTTCTGTCCTCTTTCACGCCATGTGGTTGGTTTCTCATATCAACCACCGGAAAGTCAAGAACACGTCCAAACAATGACGAATGTCCTTTTTTTTGCATCTTCTTGATCTTCTTTCATTACAATTTTGTAATACAACAAAAATATACAAAAAATTGTAATAAGAAAATCAAGGAGGAAACCTAATCATAAGAGATTAGCCTCCTTGTTACAGCCCAAGAAAATACAATCAACCTCTACTATGAATTAAAGCTAGAAAACCAAGTAAAAGCATCAATTTTTATAAAATGAATTATGAAGGATACACATGCTAATATATAATAACAAATATAGAATCCTAGGTGCCATATTTCACAAAGCTAACTAATTACATGAATAACTGTAAATAAAAAAACTAAATCCACATCCAAACACGTAATCTGGCTCTGATATCAATTGTAGGCACCATTGGATTTGCGGAAGCGTTTTAGACTATTGCGGTTTGGGATGCAACGGATCCTCGTTTATTATTACCTCTTGTAGCGCAGATCGTAGATGACGTTTCACGAATCGGTGTCCTTTGTGTCTCAGCATGAACTCACAAACCAATCTCTCTTGTATCATAGCACGGACAAATCTCTCTTCTCTATGGCAAACCTTTCAAACTATCTCTCAGGGAGAAGGGAAAGTGTGTGAGCGCTTTTTCATATTTGAGTTTACCTCTTCTGTTCAATGATCTAGAGGTTGATGACTTAAGTGGTAGTATATATACGGGTATCAATAAACCCTAGCCATAAGCTCTCTATAGACTCTACGCTTCTTGAACTCTTATCATACTCTTAGCTCATTTGAATTTTAGTAAAAGAGCACAAACCCAACCAATTATAGCTTTTTGGATTATGCTTTCCTAATGTTAAATAATTATTATTATTTTTCAAAATGGGGAAATATCCATCTTCGGTGTCTGATTTATGTTTGTGGCTTGCTTTGTGTGTTCAACCCATTGTTGTTTCAAGAAATCTCCGATATGTAGAGATTGGACAGCGATTTATATTTGTGTTCAACATAGGCTTTGTTTTCTCCGACCGATGATTAGACAACTAATTGTTGGATACAAAGAGCTTTCCTTCATTTGTAGCTGAGGTCCTACTTAACACATGGTATTTCGCTAGCCAGAAATAAGCTCTATTTTGGAAACCATCCCCATCGGCAGTGTTTGATACTTGTAATTTTGGAAGGCTTCAAGAAATTTTAAGAGTGGCCATAATTCGGCTCGAACTGATTTTTTGCTCAACCAAAAATAAATTAATTCAAACCGATTTGGTTTAAAGAGTTGGATTATTTTATTTTATTTGTATTTATTTTATTTTTTTCAAAACCATTTTAAAACCGATTATGTCTTAAAGTTAATTTATGGTTTATAACCGACTCATAATAATCTAGGGCAAAATAGGAGATAAAATTATTTCTACGATAAAGACTTAATTTAGATATATAAATCCGTTCAAAATTAATTATAAATCAGTTTTCTAAACACACTCTTTTATTTCGGACAAATATAACAGAGAAAATTCTTGTAACAAATTGGGTAGATCATTTAACATTGTTCCATCTTTCAGTACATGGCAATATATTAATTAATGCTTCAACAAAATTAGATAATTAGGAATTTTGAATTCGAATTTGAGTCATAATACACATTTCACTTAAAATTTATATCGTTCTTGATCTGGATAAAATATAGTAGGCTCATTAGTGGCTCAAAGACACACAATGAAGCCCAATTTCATGAGGACCCAAAACTAAGCGTGATGGTCACCATTGCGCATGACGCGACACGATGCCTTCATCGCGCATGAAATCGCCCTTTGACATAAACTTCAGAGGTAAGAAAGCTATCTTAAGAACTAATACGAACCCACCGCTTCTTTCTACTAATAATCAGATGACAGCACCAGCTCGCCGCTACTCTACCAAGATAGTCTGGCCTTAACAGATAAAGCTATTAAGGCTCTAACCAAACCTGCAGCCCAGAAACGGTCAATCAGAAACCATACCGCCTTCTGAAGGCAGCATCAAAACACTATATAAACAGAGAGTACATGCGTATGATAATCTAATTTAGTAAGAATACACATACACCTGCAACTGATACTGACTTCAGCATCGGAGTGTCATTGCAGGTTCCCCATCCAGTCTCAACTATCGCGCCAACATAGGTCCAGAGCACACTTATCATCAACAATCTCCAGCCCAAGAAACATAACATCTTCATCAACCGTGTGTAATTAGACCCGATATACTTTGGTCAGCCCATATTATATTTGGTCTGGTTGAACCAGAGTAATAATATTTGATCAGTTTGATTAATCGGATAATCATACTAGGAGATTCTTGGAGCCACTAAAATTGATCAAATAATGAAGAACTTAAGTAGTCTGTAAGAAATTATAGGTTGCCATTATTTATATAAAAAAAATACTAGGAGATATTTTATAATTTAGTACCTGATTGCACTATATATTTGTCTAAGCCGTTTAATGATAGTCTCTCAAAAGATAAGGAAGAATATGTAAACAGTTTTTTTAATATGTTCTTAACAGGAAATTAACACATCACCATACGAAAACAAACTAAATGGAGGTTCATGATACATTCACACCCAAGTAAAAGACACGACTTATACATCAATTATTGAAGTTTTGTCACACTTTCACACAAAAGGAAACACTTTCACACAAAAGGAAATCGAAACAGGACATTCAAGAGGTTCAAATATTATGGTCTCGTCAGGTTCAAGTTCAACCACTGATCTCAATAGTCTTAACCTCAGCCTTCTTCTCTGGCACCTTTGGAACAGTAACAGTGAGTACCCCATTTTCCATATTCGCCTTAATTTCATCAACTTTTGCATTCTCAGGTAACCAGAACTTCCTCAAGAACTTGCCACGACCCCTTTCAACTCGATGCCACTTCTCATTCTTGTCCTCTTTCTCTACACTTCTCTCCCCACTAATCTGCAATACTCTTCCTTCTTCAACCTCAACCTTCACCTCCTCTTTCTTCAACCCTGGCAAATCTGCTTTGAACACGTGCCCTTCTGGGGTTTCCTTCCAATCAACTCTTGCATTTGCAAAGCTTGAAACTTCGTTGTTGGAGCCAAAGGGTGCCCAAATATCAGAGGAGAATGGATCGAAGATTCCCCTGTTGCCTAGCAAAGAAGGAATAAGAGACATGTTTGTGGCTCAAGGGAAAAGATCAAGCTTTTGTGTTAAGAGAATTGAATTGCTAAGTTTTGTTAGTTCACTGATGATGTTGTTTTGAAGGAAAGTCGAATGATTATTTATAGAAAAGTGGGGTATGGGTTCGTGAAGTTTCGGGCTTATTCGATGGTGATGTCCATTGCACATAATGCATAATTATTATTGAGTTTCCATCCACAATGTTCTACTAGTTTCTATTGCTGAGTGGCAAGACTTTCCTGGTAGATTTCTTTTCTAGAACTCTCTGTTAATATTTTTTTTTTGGAGTAAATTTTTTTGGTATTTAATAAATTTTACTTAGGTATGCTTTAGTCTCTAGCAAATAAAAAAGACTATTCGTGGTTCTTAAAAAATTCAAAATATACTTATTTAGTTGAAATCGTGGTTCCTTACAAATTAAAAAAAAAACCATATTAATTCCTCATAAGGACCAAAATGGATTCACTTTAAATTTCTTAGAAATCACATGTAGCTTTTTTATTTGCTAAGAACTAAAGCGGGTAGCGTAAAATTTACTGAAGATCGAAAAGTATATTTACTCTATTTTTTATTCCAAAAGGAATAATGGGAATGGAGGCTCTAATATCGTATTAATATAATTATGTTTCCTGGAAATTTTCAATAATTTATTAATAGATTAATAGTCATATTTTTAATTAAAAAATAATTAAAACAAGAAATTAAAATTATCACTTTAATTAATTACATAACATAATATAATTAATTGAAATATTATATAATTGTTTTTCCTATTCTGGGTAATGGGAAAGAGAACTTTCTCGTGGGTTTTTTTTTCTTTAATAACGCTGGGTCTTTTGTACATTAGTTGATGAGTTTAAAGTTTCTAAAGATACTTTAAATAATTTTATTTAATGTTCAACAAAAATATACATAAAAAAATGTGTGAAATCCATGTGGATAGGGGTGTTAAAAGAGCTAGGGACCTTTGGTCTGACCTGTGTAAGCTGGTCTGATCCGTCTATCTTGGTTGTTGGATACAGACTTAAACTTGTGTAAAAATTCATTTAATAAAAAAGTCTCAGATTTTAAATCAAAAGTCTGACCTTAGAGCCTATCAGACTGGCCTAATATACCAACTCTAATTTTTATTTTATATTTTTTATACTACTCATTTATATCTTATGATATTATAATTGAATGTCAAAATAATTTGACTTGTTTTTTTGTTTTTTGTTTTATGTAGAAGGAGGCAAGATCGTAATATATTAAATTATTGATACGAGTGTTTACCAAAAAAATTTATTGATATGACTATTAAATTGTTTACGCTGAATTTGTAGTCTTTTGTTCTTTTAGAATGCAGAATTTTGTACTATTATTTTAGTTTATTGGTTAAGCAGACTTTTTGAATGATTTTGTTTTATATTATGCTATTTTGATATATATATTAAATTTATGAATCTTTGTGAAATTATTAGTGTTGTTGATCGTATATTATATTTGAATAAATTTTTGTTGTTTTATTTTTTTAACAGACTAACCCAGACTCTTATTTTTTGTAAATAAGTCAAGTCATAGGCTGATAATTAAATTTATAACAAGTTATAAGATAAGTCAGTCTGACATATTTAAACACATGCTTAACTTTTCAAGACTAAAGCTCAGCTCAGCACGGCCTATTAACACCCTGTGTACTATGTGAAGAGAAGAAAAAGAAAAAAAATATGAAGTTCATATATTATTTATATATATTTTATTGAACAATAAAAAAATTATCTAAAATAACTTTAAAAATTTAAACCCTTAATTTATTTACACAAAACTCAACTAACATATGTTATCAAAAAAATAAAAAAAAAAACTCAACTAACATACGGTTCTGAAAGTTGAATAATTATTCGCTAAGTGATATTAGTCTCTCTGTTTTTCTTTACTAGTTTAATTTGTGTGCATTTTATTTCTCATACAAACGTTGAATTTGTGGCCAAAATATTCGGTGGTGCACAAATTAATTTTTTCAATTTTAGAGAGTTTAGAGAGAAGTGACAATAGAGAAATTTGGAGATAGAATTGGGTTTCAATTTTTTCATTTCCGTCGCAGACTATTTAACTAAAAATCAACAAGTCAACGAAATTGAAAACAGCATGAAAACGAAATTGAAATTGAAATCACATGAGATTGAATTAATATCCATTTGCAGTGGATTTGCTACAGTAATTCGGGCTGCTCGGTCCATTCTCTTCCTTGGGCTAGTTTACTTTCCTTTAGCCCATCAGGCAAAATAATCGTCCAGATGATCGGAGTTAACCTCTTTTCCGTATGGGTCACTTTAGGGATGTGCATAGATTGAATTGAATCGAAGTTTTTGAAAAATTAAATCGAATTAGTTTAAACGGTTCGGTTCAGAAATAGTTTGGTTTGGTTCGGTTCAAAAGTGGTTCGGTTCGATTGGAAACGGTTCGGTTCATTTCGGTTCGGAACCGGTTCCGGCCGACCTTATTTTGAAAAGAAAAAATATTTAAAATTTAAAAAATAAAGTTATAAAAATCAATTTGGTTCGGTTCGAAAACGGTTCGGTTCGGAAATGGTTCGGTTCTTAAACTGGTTCTAAAAACCGGTTCGGTTCATAAACTGGTTTTTTAAAAATCGGTTCAGTTCATGAACTGATTTTTAAAAATCGATTATTTTAAGTGCAATTCAGTTTGGTTCAATTTTTTTGGTTATTTTGCACATCCAGTTCTTGAGTAGATAACTAGATATCCCAACGGCGTCATATGCTCCTTCCTCTTTCTTGTTGACTTCCAAGAGAACAAGCTCATCACAGATCATTTTGTGCCACTGAACTTTTGAGTATGGATAAGAGGTAAGTATGTAAACGGGTTGGTTTTGCGTAAATAAATCAAGTTTATGTAAAAAAATTTGAATTTGGTTTAGCCTATTAATCTCATACAAGTTATATTATAAGCATGATCTAGTTTATATAAAAAATTAATAGGTCCAATTTAGACCAGTTAGTCTATTTAAGTCTGTCAAGCCTTTAATATTTATCAAGAATACTAAATAATAAATAAAATAATATTATTTTATTGATGGAAATTATTTCATTTTATTTTAATTAGAATAAATATTATATAGGTCGTCAGGCCAAGCCATGTACAAATAGGTCTATATCCTATTTTCTATATGAAATTTTTTAATAGTCTAAGCATATTCTATATTTAAATATGTTAGGACAGGATTCACTTGAAGTAGGTCGGGGGAGAGGCCCCTGATAGATCATATGGTCTATTTACATCTCTAATGAAAGGTGAGATTGTTTTCTTTAAAGGGTGGAGTATATCAATATGCAATTATATGATAAGGCATTAGTATGAGTGTGTAAAGTCTCACTAAGTTAAAAATAATGGAAAAGGTGCAAGAGGGCACGATTTGACAGTGTGAGTGTGAAAAAAATCTAAAGTATTCCAGGACCACTAGAAAAATTTGGTGGTCCCTCTCACAAGAAGAAATTTTTTCTTCCATTTTTATCCATGTTTTTTTTCCTTTTCCCCTTTTTACCCTCTCCATTTATGAGAGCACCCAAATTCCTCTCGTGAGTGTGCAATATAGCAGAGTAATAATTCAACAACTCTAATGTAAGTGCTATCCAAACAAAATGGATAGCACTCTGCTTGTTTTTCGGACATCTAGGGATAATTCTCACCTAATATGTCAACTTGATAAACAGCACAATAAATACATACATTGTCTCAATCTATCAAATAGGCATAAAAATCCTTCCATCATAGAAGTCCATAATGTTCAATGTCCACAAAATACGTCAACGAGGACTTAATTAATACAAAACATATGATCAAAGTTATTTACATGCATCAACAACATGAAAAAGATACCAAAATAATGATTATAGGTTAAGTCCCTCTATGCATGAATATAACAAGTGATACTACAGTAATCCAAAATAGCATGCTATAAAGATAAATAACAAAATGCATAAATATCCACAGCAACATGATATATAGCTCTGTTTACATAGGCTTCCTACCCGCAGACGTTCTCGCATCGTCATTGTCTATACCTGAAAGAGGGTCCCCGAAACGTGGGGTGGGATAACATCTCAATAAGATAAGGGTCCTTGGAGGTTCCTCCACCTCATAGTTCACTTTAGTCATACAATATAAACAAAGTAATCAAAATAATGCAGTCTACGTCAATTATGTGTGCAAATATAAATCCTACTGGCCAGAGGAGATATAATGTATGAATTATGCAACGTCTTGCAACATACCAGAAATAGGAACTCGTCCTATACCCGACATAAGGAATTAACACTCATATGTCGCCCACAATAACAAACGCCCGTAACATGCATTATATCAATTGCAAATGCAATCACATAAACCATGTATAAAAACCACTACCCCTCTAGGGCATGGTGGAACAAAAAAGGGATTACCCCAAGGTCCGAAAGCTTGCCTCATAAAGCTTTACAACCAAGCTTACTTGCACTCCAGGAAAGTTAGTCACCTCCTTCCAAGACTTGATCTTCCAATTCAATATCACTAGGCTCAAACCTAGATTAGGAATCAACACAAGCCAACACCATATAGGTCATATTTCAAGTGTTACATACAAGACTTCAACACTTTAATGATTCCTTAAATTTTTGCATTTGACATTCAAATTGATTTAATACCATTTCATTCATGTCACAATATCCCTTAGCATATTTCTATGCCAATGTATGCTAAAACACAAGTCATTGCTATTTAATTCATAATTACTAAGTAGGACCACTTATCATCATCATCTCTTTAACCAAGCCAACGACCTATTTTCACTCCTATTTTAATTTAAAATGGCATAGAGTATACCCTTTAGGTATTAGATACAGTTTCACAAACTTTTTAACAACAAATACCCTAAAATAGTTAAACCAAGCCTTTAGGGCATTCCACATTTACCAAGTCTCACATGGTTCGAATAACTCATTAGTTGTTCTAATTACCTTAACTTAGATCATAGGTCATATACATCCCTTAAATGACACTCAAAACACATTTACACCTCATTTTTCCCTTCAATGGTCGAACCCCACATGAAAGGGTTCATTAGGTTTTCAAATTTCTAACCACCAATCAATAAGCTCAATCCTATCTACTATGGTCAAGGATCATTATCACACATCAAAATCCATTTGAGCAAACTTTCCACATACCTCTCTTACACATGGCTGAAGGTACACATACAAGGGGCCCCTTTGGATTTTTATGCTTTCCAATGCCCATAATTGAATCTTTGCATATTTCATCAACTAACATACACCATTCATTAACAATGTAAAGCTATAAAGCCTTCCACATCAATTTCCAATACATATTGCCTAAAAGGTGTTTATGCTATTTTCATATTCTTAAGCATTCAACAAACAATCAAATCATTCCATTACACAAATGACATATAGGACATGTTGACCATTATTTGAAATAACTCAAAGCATAATTTCAACCCATTTTTACATACAAAGGCCGAAACCAATACATAGAATGATCCTCACAATTTTCACAATATGGTAGGTGTTTCTTACCTTGAAATTGCTAAGAGTACTCTTAAATTGGTCTTCCAATCCTTAAATAGCATCAATCATGACTCCAAGCAACAATTCCTCCTTTAGATCGAAGTGCACACGTAGGAAGTCAAGCCATTTCCAAGCTTCCAATGCAACCTCAAGCTAGTTTCCAATACTAGACCAAACAACACATATAATCATCAACACCCCACTAGTCATACAGATTCAAATTTCAAATTTCCCCCCACAACTATCTTGAAACCATAACATGAAACTCACACATTCAATCCAATGATTTCTTACCTTAAACAACTCTTAAGCAACCAAAGGATCAACCTCCAAGTATTGAATCATCCAAAAACATCATCTTTTTCTCCATGGATGAACAGTAACTCGCATGGAAGAGAAGAGGAAATATCTCACAAGAAGGCTTCCCAAAGTGAAATTTCTTATGGGTTTTCTTCCCAAGACCTTAAGCAACAACTTTCATGTTGATCTCTTAGCTTGAAAGTGGCTAGAAATGGAAGAAGAAAATTTTGCATAGAAAAGGAGGAGGGCTCAATTTTTAGCATCTAGGGGAGGAGGAAGATGAAGCCAAATTGTTATTTTTGCTAAGTTAAAAGCAACTTAAAGCGCACTTAGTTGACTTTGACCAACACTTATAAAAATTGCCACCTAGTCTCTCTCTCTCTCTCTCTCTCTCTCTCTCTCTCTCTCTCTCTCTCTCTATATATATATATATATATATATATATATATATATATATATATATATATATTCTCCTTTTATAACTTAATCTAACTTAATAAAATTTCATTTTCATATCATAAAATTCTTCAAAGAATCATATTATGACATCATAATTGGATTTAGGCCAATTCTTTCAAAATTGCAATTTGACCCCTAAACTTTGCCATAATTACACATTAACCCCAATACTTTAATGTAATTATATTTTGGTCCTAAATGATTTGTTTGTCATAATTGGAATGTCGTCATAAAATCTCATTTTTGAGTTTTCTAGTAAAATTTGCATAATAACATTCTTATATGGTAAAATTTATTATTTATATTTTTTCTAAAAAAGTGTCTAAATTCTCAAAATTATTATTTTATTCCAATTTCATCAATATAATCTCAAAATAATATCTAATTATTCTATTTCATTGGTTAGGGTTATTATATCCTGCATGTGCACCACCAGGGTATAATAATATTGTATCCAAGCAAACTGTGAACCCGGTTTTTCATTGATTTAAAAATCGATGAGATATTCAAAGGGGTTGTATTTTGTTATGTAACATGAGAAGAGCTTTTTTCCTACACATACAACTATGAGGGCCCATTAAATTTTTTTAAAAAAAGGAAAAAAAATATCACAAAAATCGAATTCTCATTAACATAAAAGGAACTTTATTCCCGCAACATGTGATTTATTTATCCCATTTTCAAAACATTACTTAATCACTGTCTTGCACATTAGCTCATATTGGGATACGCATGCGTGTATTGGTGCCATATCGCCTTTGGCAAGTGCATCGAACTGAACTTTCATTTCTATTCATTGAAAAGTTAACAACGTACCATCACCTTAATTATTATTTTAATTACTTACGTTGTCAGTAAAAAAATGAATTACGTATAAAAACACAATAAAATACTAAATAGGCAATCATCAGCTTGGCTAATATGTTACGGGAAGCATCGCGTAACAATTAATTGATAGAGATAACGTACCGCTGCATCTGATATAAACAGGGGCATATAGATTCCTATAGTTTCTTCCCCTGAAAGATATGTATAATTTGATTAATAATTTAGCCGAATTAAATTACCTTTCCAAAGGTAGCATAGGTTAATGGGAAATTAAGCGTATGGAAGTGTCTCTGAGTTAAATCTGCAATTTGACTGTAATGATAGTTCAGCTAATGGTATTTTCTATTAATAAATAATTATTCAATTACCTTCTTAGAAGAGAGTTATAAACAAAAGAAAAAATTATCAAATTCTTACACTTACAATACTGGTTGAGTCAGTTTGGAGTAAAGATAAAATACTAATTATCTCTCTCTCTCTCTCTCTCTCTCTCTCTCTATATATATATATATATATATATATATAAAAGCCGAACCAATTAAATTCATTTGAGTTAAACTTGTCAAGGAATTTTTTTTTTTTTTTTTTATCAATTTAAACCAAGTTAGCAGAATCATGGTTGGATTGATCCAGGTTATCGAGTTCATATTTTTTATTCTTTAATCAAATTTTACCAAAACAACATTTTATATTATATTTTTAAAAATTACAATAAAATAGCTTTATAACAAATATATATTAATTGGATTAAGTTTGAATGAAAATTAACCCAACTTAACTTATAGTTGTAATTTTAAATGGATTTGGATTGGGCCTTTAGACAAATTTTGCAAAAAAAAAAAAATTAACACATTAAAAAAAACAAAAGAATATAAATAAAAAAAGAAAAAAAAAACTTCAGCTTAATATAAAAAATTAGTAATTAAAAGTCAACTAATATATTACAATATAGAAGGCCACCACCACGTACATAATAACCTTAGAATATCATTGAAATTCGTTTTGAAAATAAATGGTGAGACTTGTTGATGACGCAAATAGTTAGGGAATGGGGTGCTTCTTGCTTGACTTGATTTGAAGCGAGGGTCATCTCATGCATGAAACACACTCGCACACCATAGCCTCAACTCAAGGCCCCACCCACCAGCATCATCGATGACAATAACCGATCATCATCATCGATCATCATCATCAACCCAAATGTGTGTCTCTGCTGTGTCTTTGTGTTCTCCACTCCATCCTGATTATTTTGCTTCCTTGGCATTCGGCTCTCGAGCATCAGAATCAGCCACCACAGAACCAGCCCCTCACATCACATTCGTAGGTCCGCCAACTGAGGCCCACATACTTCGACGAGAGTTGCAATTGTTTCCATTTGGATAAACGATGTTTACTAAGTAATTATAAGATAAAAATAATCACTTCAAATGAGAATCTTCTCTTTCCTTTTGTTGAACAGGCTTCCAGTTATTATAAACATCACAAGGGACAGAGGTACCACCTTATCCTTAAATAAACGACAATGAGAAATGAACAAACTAGTAGCCAATAAGAAAATCTTACAATATTGTTTGGGTCCCAGAAAACCGATCTATACCGTATAGTACGTGCTCAGAAGTATATATGAAAGAGATATCCTATTGACGTAGAGCGAATGTTCCAATCACTGTGCACGCATGTAAATAAGTCAAAAGTGTGTACTTAGTTCTTTAACCTTTCATCTGATGGGATCAAGGCTCTTATCTCTTGATTCCTTCTATATTATATTGTTGAGATTCTCTTAATATATTCTTTGGATATATCCTAATCTTTAATTGGAGATATGATTAAGATATGGATTTAGTCCATAACACAATGGGTAATAATTTTCTCATGTCGTAGGAGATAATTATTATCTCTTAAAGACTCATTTATATAGGTGGGGTGGGGTTCACTTTCAAGAGAAGAGAGAAAAAAAAAGTAGAGTGAGACGTATCTTAAATTCTCTATGTAGCTCTCAGTTTTCATCGTCAACCTTCAACCACTAGTTTCTATTCTTTTCATTATTAATACGATAAATCCAGCTACAAAACATTATAAATCTCAAGCCCACATCTCTCTCTCTTTATTCTCTCCATTGTTTGTATCAAATATGGAAGAGATGAATATGCCTCAAGGCCAAGACATGCCTATGCCTTATGGCAACAATAATATGATGATGATGATGACGAAGATGCACATGAGCTTGTATTGGGGCAAAGATGCCATAGTACTATTCCCTGGGTGGCCTAACCAGAGTGTTGGCATGTACATCTTAGCTATCTTGTTTGTGTTTTTCCTTGCCATGATTGCTGAGGTTATGTCTAACCAACCCATCATCAAAAGAGGGACAAGTCCCATAATTGGAGGGTTGATTCAGGCTATCTTCTATGTCTTTCGAATTAGTTTCCTTTACTTGGTGATGCTTGCTGTCATGTCCTTCAACCTTGGAATCTTCATAGCTGCTGTGGCTGGCCATACCTTGGGATTCTTTATTGCTAAGTATCGTGCTCTTGCAAGTGCCAACAGAGAACAACAACACGGGTCATCCATTACTCACAAAGTTTAAATGTTCTTCTACCTTATCATGTGCATAGTTTTATTCAAAAGAGTTTAAATGTTTCTACCTTATTATAGAATATATATGATCAATGAATGCTTCCTGGTTGTGTTTGTTATGTTTTCCTATTGCAAGTTGTGTTTCAGAATGTTATAGTTTGTTCTTTAAGCGAGGGAAGGGCAGAGACCCTTGTGACTCAGATAATAAACATGTTAAGAGAAATAGAGAACTGAATGTTTCAAACAATAATGGAGGATTCAAACACAATCCCTCATGCATATTATTTCTCTTTAAGCCATGGTACCAATTCATGTGAATATATATGATATATTCATACGGTCTCATGTGAGCCATCTTAGAGCTCTTAATTTGGTCGTTACTTCAATGGATATTTCTTTTTGTAAGCCACCTTAAAGCTTTTCCTCTGTTAACCATGTTTTTCCATTACTATGCTTTGCAAGTATTTTAAAGATGTAATCCAGCCAAACATTTGTAGTAACTTTTTCCCTTCATTAAAATATTTTTTAGGTTGCAGGTCAAGAGCATGCTTGGTAACAAGCTTTTTTGAAAAAATAATAATATTTTTTTTTTTTGAAAGCTACGAAAAGAACTTCTTTTGACTCTGGAATAAATTAATTCAAATACGCCCTTAATGATTTCCAAAATATTATTCCATTTAAGAGGAAAAGAAAAGCTGGTTTCATTGGAGGGAAATTACAATCAGAACAGTTTCAATGACAATTTCAAAGTACGAATCTAGACAACTGTGTGTAATAGCTTGAAGAGTACATTCTTCTTGCCAAAAAATGAAAAAATATGGAATATGTGTAGAAATAAATATAAAAATAAGAATAATATAAAAATATTACTTTTTATTATATTCGGTAAAAAAAAATGTACCAAACTCTGTACAACCGGAGCATAATATTAGTATAATATTCAACACAGAACAGCCCAAAATAACTACCAAACCAACGCGAGCATTGAGGAATATGATACATACCTTACCCTGTTACCGTGTATTCTTTTTTGTTTTGTACCTTATTTGGGTCACTTATTTGATGTCTCAAGATTGCTTTCATTTTAGCTCAAACATTTTCCGCTATTTTCTTTCTACACCATAGATAAATTTCTTTCAACGTTTTTTTTTCACAGCTTAAGAGGAGGAGCCCAACAGTGCTTTTTCCAAAAAAATAAAAACATAAAAAAATCTTAGAAATAACTGTAAAATTAATTTTAACTGACGTGATTTTTTAAAATCATTCTTATAATTAAACTAAATTTTTTTTATCATACCTTAGTTTAAGTAACACTTGAGTTTCTTCGACAACCATACCAACATCAAATCCAAATCATGTTCTTATGAATGCACTTTAACCTACCAATTATCTCTTCCGAACACCAAATCATAAACTTTCTTTGCTGGAAAAAAAAAATTAAATTCCCAAGTTTTTTCCATCAATTCGTTCAACTTCATTTCATTTAAATCTAACCCTGCTATACTTCAACTTGGAAATGTCTACAGCTCAAGACAAATAATACACACAAGTTTTGAATACTGTATTGTGCCTGCATAACGCCTTCCTAATACTTCATTGGATGTGTTACAAAAAATAGACGCTTGGCAATTATTGGACAGGGCACATTGCAGATGCTACAGTGATTTAAATATATTCATACATACCAGTGAAAGCTACCTCAACTTCACACTCAGAATCATGAAACCTACAAGTAACAAAAAACTCAAAAGATGTAGCACTTTTAACAACTGCTTGATCTTGTTCACCTTCTGGCTATTCCCTAATATGCTTACAACTCTCTTTATTAAATACAAAAGATTTTTTAGATGATAATGGAAAAGATTAAAAAATAAAATAAAATTTTCAGCAGTTATCAAAATATTTCCTGGTAACATAAATGCTACAAATCCCTGAACTCTCCTTATCTAACAACCACTGTATTCGAGAGTGACCTGGAATGCCTCCTTAAGGAAATTGTATTATGGCCAACTACTGCATGCTTCAAGTTAAATTATAGTATGGCACATCTTTGAAGCCCAAGAGATGAAAAAAGTCTTCTACCAGCAGGCCAAAAGAGAGAGAACCAACCCATTGGACGTGCATTGGGTGCAGCTTCGTCTGAATCCTCTGAGTTTGTTCCATCTGAGTCCCCATGTACTTCACCCTCCTTCTGGCTTTCACCTGTCATCTGATCCCCATCTTCATCAGCTTTAACTTCTGCAATTTCTCCAGGCTTCTTGTCAAATAACCCTTTAAATTGTTTCCGAGCTTTCTTCTCAACTTCCTAGAAATGAATTGGAATAAGAAGAAAGTCTAAGTGTTTCCTCACGTGAAGCCTCAAGCATATAAGAGAACAACTAATTTGAAACCCACCTGCTCCTTCTGCTTCAGTTTTAGAAGAGCTGCAGTTGCATCTGATTCAGTTGACTTGTCAACTTTCATCATCTAAGATAGCATGTAAGTGACTTTAGAAATGGATGATGACAATAGGCCTTAGATGCTAAATTTAAGTATGAAATTCCTACCATTTTGAAATCATCTCTTGCTTCTTCAAAATCTCCAGCAGCCATGTAGGCCATTCCACGACGATAAAGACCCTTGACATTGGCAGGATTTGCTTCCAAAACCTGCATGATTCATTGAAGAACACATGACAAGAGGCAAAATTAATATACAGAAGTAACAGAACATAAAACCAAATGCTAGAAACCAGATTAAGCCAAGCCAAAAAAGAGAAAGTAAAAGGTGCATAAAGAGGGCATTTATAAGCATTATAGAACAGCAAAGAGATAAATATCAAAACTCCTCTAAGTATTCAGAAAAACACCACAGATAATTGCACACTACAGTGACATTTATTCCATCATCCAACACCACCGTCCCACTTATTGTTACTTACGACTATATTTGAAACCCATTTTGATACTAAAAAAGTCATAAAGACTTGTGCACTAGCTCTGAAACCACAACCTCACTAATTCTAGTAACAACTAATAAAGAGCATTACTCGGTATTGGGGCAGTCCAAGTTATTGGGACAGTATGGGCCTTGAACACCCCTAGCTGGAATATATATAAGAGATCACTTGAGGAGAAAAAGCATCATCCCACTAACATCGCACATTAAGGATGGTTGAAATGATAGGGATTTAGGAAGGAAAGGAAGAAAAGAGAAAATAAAGACAGAATTATATGAAATTGGTACTGATTTGATTATTATGAAGTATAAACTACAAAGTATAAATCCAGATTTATAATAATATTAGACTCCAAATCCTAATAAAATAAGGAAACAAATCATGGAATAAGGGAACACTTCCTAAAAGATCATCTATGATACTCTAAACAATTCTAAGACACAATCAAGATATTATGTGATTTTATCATATATTTTAACACTCCCTCATGCTAAAGCTTACCAACTTTAAGTTTGATACAAATGATCCTTTGAAAAATGAAAAATAACCAAATAATACAATCTAAGATGCCGGAAGGAGGTGTTGCAGGACTCGCTCACCATATTGAGGCCTGATGAGGAGAAAAGGATCGATGTGCAGTGAGCACGAGATTGAACCACTGAATAGTGTGCGTAGCGGGTTTAGGACTAGTCGAGAGAGACAAGAAGAAAAGAATCACAAAGATAAAAATCTCAGTAAACTAAAGGTCCTTGGAGGGTCACTCTACCCTATAGTTCACTTCATGTGCATCAACAGTAAAATAACATAGCACACAATACATTCTCTATCATTATCATTTTGTTTACTCTGTTCTGTACTGTGGGACTTCCAAAAGATTCAACTTAAGGCTGTATCTCTTTGGTATTTCCTTACAGAGTCCCACTTAAGGCTGCACTCCTAGGAGACATTCCACAAGGAGTCCCTCAAGGGGCTGTGCTCCAAGGGAAGTCCATCTTTGATCTGTTTCCAAGAGATATTCCGGTTATACCTCTTCGATACTGATGAGTCTCCAATTTATTATGTATTAAGCGTTAATATGAGCATGAAATTGATTTAAAAGTATTAAAAATTTATGAGAATTATAATTAAAGTGTTATTTTATTCTCAGAAATATTCTAATAAAAATTCTTATATTTTGCAGTAATTTTCAGCTCTATAAAAAGATATATTGGAGAGCTCAAGTGGATTTGTTTTTCTGAATCATATAATTGATTGAAGATCTTATTGAAGATTCTCTTGAATATTTTTAAGGAAATTGCTTCCTTTAAATATAAAAGAGAAGATTTTAAAGATATGATTGAATATTATAGTAAAGATTCCATTGAAGATATTATAAGAAATTAAAAGATATGGCTTAAGATTTAATGCAAGATCACACAAGAAAATAAAAAGATATGGTTTCTTCTATAAAAAGAGGGTTGGCGCAATCAAGAGAAGGAGCTTTCAGAGAGCGGTTTGAAGAATCAAGAGGAGGAAATCCTATTGCGGATCAGAGGAGCATCGGAGCACTGAAGCGTCAAGACAACATCACATCAATGGAGTCTTGGGGAATTATTTTCTTTCCAATTGTTTTTTATTTCAATATGCTAGGCTAAGTTTTTATGTAGTTAGGGGAAGCTGAAACCCAATTGAATCTTTATGTTATGAATTAAATTGTTTATGAATTCTTCTCTTTATATTTGAATGAATTATCTGTTTTTAATGCTTTCTATGAGTTTGCTCCTTATAGATTGATTTAGGGGAATTGTAAGACAATAGGGATGTTGGTGCATAAATCCTGATTTGATAAATTCATCATAATCCTTGTGATCTAGGGATAGACATAGGGCAATTGTGCAATCTTTTAATTCTTGATTTTAATGCATATTTTCTCGATGAACAACCGGGGAACTAGGATTCTTTCAAGATCACGTAGAATTAGGGTAACAAGGAATTGGGCCTTAATTAACTTAGAAAGAATTGATTGGCATTATATTAAGAACAGATTCTTGACTATTTAATTCATAGCATAAAGAGGAAATTGAGGGAAGTCGAAACCTTAACTACGCTCTTTCTTGATTTTCAAAACATTCATCTTTTTACTTTCTTGTTTTTAATTCTGAAATTGAATGCTATTGCTTGTTTTGAATTTCAATCTTTTCATCTCAAATTTGATTGTCCAACTAAATCGTTGTTAGCGAACTAGTGCTTGAAAACCAATCCTCGTGGGAATGATCTCGTACTCAGTACATTTTTATTACTTTTACGACCGGTGCACTTGCCGAAGTCGCAACAGATACCTACCGTACAAGAGTCCCACTTAAGACTGCACTCCTAGGTAAATACTCTGCAAAGAGTCCCAAGGGACTTTGCTCCAAGGGAAGTTATAATAGAGTTTCAGATTATAGGAAACTCAGGCAGCGAAAAACTGATGGGATGGACACATATTAAAATTATAAAGATTTAGATATGAAAGGAAAAAGAAAGAGAAAATAAAGAATGAATAATATGATATTGGTATTGATTTGATGCTATAATGTCATACAAACGACATAGCATTAATCACTATTTATACTAATAGTAGACTCCAAATCTTAATTAAATAAGGAAAGAAATTATGAATTATAAAGAAATAAGAAAACTATTCTAAAGAGAAAATCTATGATACTTTAAACAATTCTAAGGTTCAATCAAGATATTATGAGATATTTTTCACATATTCTAACAAAGATCTTGCTACATTCAGCAAATCCATCATGGTGGGAACTTTCTGAATCATAGATAAAATCAATAACTTGTTTTACAAACAAAATGTCTACTTCAAATTCAAAGTAACAAAACCAAGTATTGTTATTCCATTTATTCCAATGAAATAAACTAAAGCTACGTTATAGCTGAGGTCATCAAACATACCTTATTGCAAGTCTCAATGGACTTTTTACATTCTCCCAACTTTAGATAGCAAGCAGCAACATTCAGGTGTAGCAAATTCTTCAATCATGAGGGAGAAACGGATATAGAAAAAGATTTAGTCTAAATTGAAATCAACTTACCAATCATAAGTTAGGTTAATATGCTTCCCTTCTTATGAATTTAAATAATTATTGGGAAACAGACATAAGATCACTTACACGCGTATCTACAAAGACTTTTCCTTCCTCATCATCTTGTGGATTAACATGATTAAATTCTCGAAGCACCTGTTGCCAGCTACCACATAATGTTAATAAGTTTGATGGTATAGTCAGACTTCCAGTGTCAAAAACAAAAATCCAAGTGATATACAAATTCAATCATCACAAAACAGAAATTGAATCCCAGTAATATATAAATCCAATCCCTTTAATAAAGTTCAGCCAACAGAAACAAAATAAACAGAATTAAATAGCATTCAAATCCCTTTGCATGTGTGAATATAGACAACAAAAGCAAAATGTCAAAATAAATTGAACTATTTTGCTGTTAGCTGATGCCATTTTTTAAGCAAAACTACAGGTCCTGAGGACCTTGGGAGGGAATAGCCGGGATTTACGCCATGGGAATTGACTCTACCAGCTTTATAAGATCAAGGGACCAATACACCACCATCTAGCTGAGACCAATTCAATGACTATAACATTTAGATACATAGTTTCTATTAGGATGCAGCAGCACCAACAACTGCTCCATGCAAAATTCTGACACCAATGCAAGAAATTTTCTTGGAGAAATATGTCAACCAAAATCTGAAAGAGCATAACGTTCTACTAGACTCTATGCATTAGCTCAAGAGAGAAAGATGAATACCTTTTCATATTTTGCTTTGGCAAGTTCATATTTTCCTTCTTTGAACAGCCTGTTACCCTGAAAGAGAATAACAGCATGAGACATTTAACTTCATTCAAAACCAAAAGTAAACCATCGTGTTGTATAACACCTCCATAGGTGATTGTAGCACAAGTCCGAAAACAAACAGTGAGTATTAACTACATAAGCTACAATGAAGCAGAATTCTATAGTAAATACAAGAGGGCAAAATTTAAAAGAAAATTGGGGACACTTTCTCCAGGAAATAATCATCTACTACCTCTTGTTCGAAAATAATAATCTTAACAAAACAAGAAATTTCATAGCATTATACCCAGAGACATCTATTTAGGATTTCCAAGTCTTGAATTATAGGGATTTAGTATAAATCACAGTGAATTCATCACCAATTTAGTATAAAAAACAGTAATCAAGCATGGAAGTTTGTATTAATAAATTCCAAAAATGAAATCAGGTATGGAAGTTCACAACACAGTAAAACAGCAATGGAAATGATAATGAAAACAAGGAAGAAAATGCAAAAAAGTAATAGATTCAGAGCAATTAGAGAAGCTCTGGAATCTCCCAAGTTTGTGGTCCCAAATTCCCCAGATTAAGTCCTCAACTAATCCTGGCTACCTTATATCACTCCTTGCCCTGTAACCACCAGAATCATTTTAAATTATATTCTCTCTCCTGCCTCAGAGTTAGTTATGCAACGTGTTTTGGAGGTCCCATTCTCCTATGGTTGCCCCTAAATGTCAGGGTCATTCTGAACTACTAGCATTCGGGAACAAAGCATTAGCTCCATTGTAAAAGGGGAAATGCTTTGAAGGAGAAATCTCTTCTTTTCTCTGGTGGTTTTTTCTGTCATCAATGACAAATTTCCGTTCATTATTTCTCTCTTCTCTTCTATCTTTCCGCTTCCGTAATTATGGGTTCTTACAACATGCATAGCTTAAGAGACCAATAATCATGGAATGACCAACAGAAGGTAAGAACAGTTATGAAAGAGCCTTCACGGATTAAATTTTTCCCCTTAATTACTCTTTGATTTTATTTCTCAACATAGACAACAATAACAGCAATATATATATATATATATATATATATATATATATATATATATATATAAAACAAAACACAAAACCTCCACTGAATCCTCCAAAATAATCACCTAAAAACAAGAGATTAAGAAATAAGAAATCTACTTCATTGCTTGATCAGAAAGATGACATCTTTCCATTAGGGTGAATATGCATTTTGTGCACAATAGAAAGCTTTTCCACCAGTGTAGCATAGTAGTTACTTGCCCCATACTGTGCTCAAAACACACATAAGACGTGCACAAGCATGTTTGGCAATCATGTCATGTTACATCATGACATCAGTAATAGCAAGCTGAGGACCAAATGCATAAAATTGTGCAGGATCATTTGCATACCGTGTTTCTGATCTTTTCGGCTTCATTCATTATACTTTGAAAGTCCAATCCAGTCCAGTCCTGTATTAAGGAATAAAGTCCATAATCCATTACGGATAGTAATGCGTATTCAATCTCATATGAATAGAAACAAAAGGGGGGTTTTAAGGATTATAAAATTGTGTAAGCTAACAATATGTTGTTTGATGAAGAAAATATCCAATACCAGATGTGTGATTTATCACATGCTGTTTCATGTAGATGTCATAGTTCAGCCAGGGATTAAAACAGAGAACAATTGTACTCTATCTAAACTTGAAATCTACTAACCGAACCAGAAAACAGAATAATTTAATTTAAAAAACAATATAAACATAACTTGATCAGCATTCTCATCTCTGCCAAACTTATTTTTGCTTCACCAACATTCACTACCATAGAGCATTGTCAGTCTTATAATAGCTACATGCAAATATGCAACTAAAATACTAAATAATTAGAATTTAAGAAAAGAATTTGTAAAATACCTTTGGCATTTCAAAAGCTATAAGCTCAATTTCCCATTGAATGTGAGCACCCTCAGGGACATTTAAGGGCCTGATCATAAAAGGATGTAGTATGACAATGATATCATGAAGCATAAGAAATTAAGAATAGAGCAGAATGATAGTCAATGTCGAGATAGAAAACAAATTAAGTTGAGGATTGCCTGCACTAAAACACTTCAAGAAATCTAAATTATTGGTTAAGTGGAAGAAGTAGTTTCATCAGAAACCTTGGAAACTTATCATAAGCATAGTCAGGGGGACATGTGACTAGAGCTATCTCTCCAGGAAGCATCAGACGAACACACATTTCAAATCCCTCTGGTACCTAAAACCCATAAAAAACAAAAACAAAATGAAATGAAATTCCAGTGCAACAACCTATGCAAATGTTCAAGTATTTGCATGAATTGCCAAACATGAAAGGAAGACATTCTAAATTGGCAATTACACATATGAAATATCCAGAGTACAAAACCTTTAAGAAAAATAATTAAAATACATAAGAATAGAGCAGAATGATAGTCGATGTCCAGATAGAAAACATATTTTGTAGAGGATTGCCTGCACTAAAACGCATCAAGAAATCTAAATTATTGGTTAAGTGGAAAAAGTAGTTTCATCAGAAACCTTGGAAACTTATCATAAGCATAGTCAGGGGGACATTTGACTACAGATACCTCTCCAGGAAGCATCAGACGAACACACATTTCAAATCCCTCTTGCAAACAAAAAAACATAAAAATGAAATTCCAGTGCAACAACCTATGCAAATGCAAATGTTCAAGTATTTGCATGAATTGCTGAACATGAAAGGGAAGACATTCTAAATTGACAATTACACATATGAAATATCCAAACTACATAAAACTTTTATGCTCAAGTTGTAAACTCACAAGCCCTTCTCCAGAACAGAACTCCAATGGCTGACCATCATTATCAACTCTTGTATCATAGAAAACCCTCTTTTCTTCATTGAGAATGGCGCCCTTGTAATGAACGCGGAGTAAACTGTCATGAAGGGGGCAGTCCATTGGAAACTCACCTATTTGTTGCAAACAAAATGCTATATCATAAAAATACTTTGAATAGAAATAATCAACTGGAAAATAAACTATGTGAATGCAAGGACAAAATTAAAAAATTTAGACCCGTCTCCCAATCACACAACCTTCACAAAAGAGAAAGAATAGAAGTCATGGAAAGCAAAAAAAATGGAAACTACTGAACTCATAGTAGAATTTAAACATCTTGAGTATAACTCAAGCATCAGCCAGGCATTTTCCACAAAATTATTTTATATTTTTTTCCTTTCTATTTTCTTTTTTCTTTTGCTAAAGAGAAATCACTAAGCCTCCTATAATCCCTGCAGTCCTTGTAAGATTTGTACAAATAAATAACTTTAGATTCTCCATCCATACCTTTCCCATCACGAATCCGGCGTTTTATTAGGCGCCCATCTCCAAGCATGTCCCTCACCTGTTGATATATTACCATCAAGAAATTTCACATGCTCAACATCTTACTCAGAGAAAAGAAACAAAGTTACAAAAGCACATGCTTCAGGCACCACTAATATGAAGGATAAAACAGTCTTTAAATATGCCTAGGAAGACGCAATGACAGTGCACACCAACATTATTGTAGTAATATTGCTGAGTAGTCATAATTCTTGCAAAGTTAAGTAATAATTGAAGTATTTGAATAAGAATTAAGCCAGGGATGAGTAAAACAAGAATAAAAAAGAAAATTGAAAACCTGACCTCTAAGCACTAATTTTGCTTTCCAAGTTAAAAACCATTGAAAAACATAAAGAGTGGTACTCCTCTATGGCTGTCACACCACTACCAAATACATATCTGGTACTGGTACTAATTGGGGTACACATTGGTACATACTTGAAACAGTTGGGTAACTTTTTAAGTGTCCTCTTTCAGTATCTTTTCCCTGCTCAATGTACTTTATGATTTTTTTTTGTTTTGAAAGCTTACTCTAAAGGTTGAAAGCTAATATATCTTTCAAAATAATTACTAAATTATGAATTGTTTAATATTTCTATATAATATATCCTCTAATATCCGTACTCAAGTTTTCAAAAAAATTGTCCTACCAAATGGATTTTACATCTAGCCTAGAAAATCTCCAATTGACCAGGGAATATAATTCCAAGCCCCAATACCAAAATCTTTTAGTTCCTATTATACAAACTTATGAGACATGTTTAAAGAACACAAAAACAACAATGCAACATACAGGTCAGAAATTAGTTATGGGTACCCAACGATGGAAAGAAGAAAGTTACATCTATTAATGCCTCAGTAACATTAGTAAAGTAGATAATGAAAGGAGGATACTGATAAAAATTCATTCTTCATAATATTATAATTTATATCTTACCACACATACATTTCACAACAACAAACGAAGTTCATTAATAAACAATGTGTCTACTAAAGGAAGATCTTGCTCACTTGAATAAAGTGTATGAGCTCCACTTCAAAATGGATTTCGTCATAATCTTCAATTACAGGCATCAGTGGAGACTCAGTTAAATATTGACGAGTAACATATATTACAGCCTTCTCTTCCCGAACCATTGTTCCTATTCCCAGTTCAAGACCTTTAGGTACCTGATTTGCGTAACAGCAGGGTAATCACAAAAAGCAAAGAGAAGAAATCAATATTAATATTAAACCACTTTCTATGCTATTGCCAACAAAACAATTCCTAAGAAATAAATTGTTATCTTGCATTTTTTATTCATTTAGGAGAGCAGCTAAGCTTACTGGTATCAAGAAATAAAAAATATGGTTGTGGAGCTGTCTAACTGGGTTGACTCTTGCCCGGGATAGAGGATTTTCAAACATTATTCTGGAAGGGGACTCAACTCAGGTGCTGGAGTTCATTGATCAGGAAGTCTTGATGGATCACCCTTTGGCTCTTATTGGAAGCAAAATAAAAGAGCTCTTAAACAGAAACTGGAACTGGAAACTGAATCACACTCTTCGTGAAGGTAATTTGGTGGCTGATTGGTTGGCTCATCAAGCCTTGATGATGAAGAAGGATATGGTTATTAACCCCTCTCCCCCGCATGGCTGTATGGCTCTAGTGTTTAAAGATAGTTTGGGTACTGAGAGTCCCAGAATAGCTAGTTAGGGTCTGCTCTACTCTGTAATTTCCAAAAAAAAAGAAATAAAAAATATGGGCACAACCAAATCAGATCACAGCTGAAATACTTGGCATACTAGGAGAGACCAACTCATTATCAGTGCATGTTATTCCACCATAATAATAGTATAAAAACAAAAAGGGGGTGAAGTTATTTAACTACCTCTGATTTTCCAAATGTAAAGAAGTATGGTTCTCCTTCTGTGTGTGACATGATCAATTTCCCAATAACTGTCTTTGCTGAAATCCTGGTAATGACCAAACAAAATATCATCAGAAACTCCCTTCAACCCATTATAGAGCCTGACATAAGAAGAAATGGACAATATAAAAAAGGGAACAAAGATTCATTTTACCAAGCCTTCACTTCGTAAGGTTCTCTTGGAGATTCCCAACCCTTCCCTTCACGTACTACCTACACTCAAAAAGAATTAACTGGTGAAACATAATCTGATTGGGACTACGGATCAAAAATAATTGAAACTTTCACTAAAGAGGATGTCATTCCAGATTGAATTCCTCTTTCCAGTTTGTACTTGTTGAACACAAGATATACACATGAAAACATGTTATGTAAAAATATGTGTCCTAAAATTTTGGCTAACTTTCTAGCCAAATTCATGATACAATTCCGAATTTCTCAAAGAAAATTTCCCGTAAATACCCACAAGATTCAATATGAATACTTAAGCTTCAAATGCCATTGAACTCTATTATGATATGAAACAGGAAAATTTATAAATATTTCTTTCACAAATTATCGTAGTAAAAAACCATGCAATCAGGCTTCCCCCTAGCATGCATTGTTTTGAAAAAGAAGACAAAGTGTGAACTCTGTTATTGCGGTTTGGGAGGTCTTCACGACCACATCGCGACTGCATTTGCCCACAATGTTCTGCAATTTTGGTAATCACAACGCAACCGCAAACACAATGTAAAACCATGATATAAAGCATAGACACTTAAAAAATGAACGAGCCATTTCCAATTTTCCATGTTGAAGATGCATTGAACATTTGAGTTAGACACAACAGAACTCTTTTCCCTTTTTACTTTTAGTTTCCATTCATTTTTTTCATTAGAACCATCCAAAATGATAGGGACATGTAGAGCAAAGCCTAGTGCACAAGCCTCCCTGACTCTGTGAGGATAGGGATAAGGGTCGACTATGCATAGTGTAACCCTTGCAATTTAAGAAAAAGAATATTTCCTAGAATCGAGAATGTGACCTTCTGATCACAAAAGGGAAATCTTACCACAACTCCAAGGCTTTCCCTCAAATTGATAGGAACATGCACAAAATAAATTTATTAGCTATGCAGCAATACATTCTAGCCACTTATACCTTTTTTACTATTCCCAAATCATCAGTAACAACCTGAAAAATATACACAAAAGCAAGAAATGAGGATTAGAACATAGGTCAATCACAAGAAAAAATTATTCTGGAAAGAAAAAATTCCTTATAAATATAGAAAAACCAATACTGCAATACTGGTGAACATAGCAACAATTAAGGATGAACAAACACTGGTAAAATGAAACCCAATACTGTTGAAAAAGATAAACAAATACAAAAGGAATATCTTTTTCTTTATTGGTATATCTATATGAAAAGAATATCTTCTTAATCAGTCAAAAGAACCCCAATCAATGACGGGAAGCTCATATGTGGCAAGAGTAGACTGAAACCAGAAATCATCAGGATAAGAAAGATAGAGAATATAAACAAAAAGAATAAATAATAAATCCATCAGCTCAAAGTTCACATCCCTGCATTGGCTTTGAAAATATAAACAAAAAGAACTCAAAGTTCACATCCTTGCCTTGGCTTTGAAAAAATCTATCAGCTCAATTTCAAAATGAAGTTCATCATCCTTAGGAAAACCATCGGGAGCAGAAATAGGACAATCATCCTCACCATAATGCAATTGAGGCTTCATCTTGAACTGCAATAATAAATAATACAATCAATAATATAGACCCAAAAAAATTTCAGTCAAAAAAATTATTGAAAAAAGAAAAAAAAATCACAAAAGCAAAGGATAAGGTATCTGCCCATCATAGGTATTAATAGCGAACTATAGTGGTCAAAAAACACTCAAAGTGTGATTCTGTTTCAATGAAAGAAGACAAGGTGTGAACTCTGTTATGTTTCGGCACTGACCCACTGCACCAGCATTTTTATTTTTTTTAATCCCCTATGAATTTTGATCACTCAAATCATTAATATGTATTTGGGGGGAGGGGGAATCAAAGATGATCCCTCAAATCCTTAAGAAAAACCATAGATAGAAGCAACTAAAAAGCAAGAAACAAGAACCTAATACGTTCAAGAAAATTAACATCATATTTCATTAAAGTATAAGTAAAAAGAAACAATCAATTTTCCTCTTCTTTAGTAATAATGGTAGAAGTCATAGATAATAATATGACAATAGTAACAGCTTCATTGTCAGTTCAGCATAGTAAATTTAATTTTCTGTTAAATCTACAAATGAAACAAGTAATATTGTCCCTGTATTGCATTAAGCATTAAATTATAGTCTTAAGTTCAAAATCATAATAAATAAAGACCAATGAAAAGCTTCGATATAATACAGTTTAAGCATGAGACAAGATGACTTGAGGTTTTAGTCACCAAAATAGAGATAGAGATCAGGAAGACGACAAAATTCAATAATTAGTATGTTACCATTGCCACTTCACCCTTCAACATTGTTGGAATTCCTTCTAGCAAGCCTAGTAATATCTTGCTTTTGCCCAAAACATGTCTTATAGGGGTGCCCTTGCCTGTAGCAATAATGTAAAAGGTTATCCAACCCAACAACTATGTTTACAATAGAAGACAATAATTTAGCATTAGTACTATCCTTACTTTTAAAGCCTACTTACCAAATCTGAAGTTCCAACTTCCCATATTTTCTACAGTGGGTTTTTCACTATAAAATTGGTAAGTCGAGTTTTTGTAAATTGTAATCCCTAGGAGTTAATAATGTAAATAACCAAGTCAACTCAAAAGCTTAAACCGTTAGGTGAAGGACATTAATGGTTTTATACTATATTTCTCTAACACATCCCCTTACATAAGAACTCATCGGGTGTGAATGGTGGATAATGCAACCATTTCAACCCAACAACTTAAGCTATTAGGTGAAGACCATATTAATGATTTTATATTATATTTCTCTAATAGACAAACAAGCTAACAAGAATACTCCATCCATAACAAAAATAAAATAAGCAGTAATAAAAAAAAATACAGAATCAAAAACAGTCACTTTTCAGAAGAAAATGCAAGACAATCAACGGAACTGACTATCATCCTGTTAATCAAAAGATACCAAAAAGGTTCCAAAAGCAGCTTAAATCACCTCACCTCCATAATCAGATCTAGTAGATTCCACAAGTACTCCATCCAAAGTTCGAATTGTGCAATGATAGATAACCTGAGAAAAATAATATAACATATTTCTGGATGAACATCGGCCCACTATAGAATACATTACAACAATTGGTTGCCTTAACCAAGAATTTCTAGCTAGCTCATGCCTATTAGGAAAATACATATCCACAGCCTAGAAAAAAAAACAGAAATAACCTGGTCACCATCTGAAGGTCCAGAATCACCCCCACCAGGCCTCATCAAAGCTTTCATCAAACTCCCAGGAACAATTTTCTTCTTCCTTTATTTTCCAAAAGAAAACAACATTTAAAACACAATCTCCACAACACAACAACAAAAATGAACAACCAGAGCCCCCCCCCAACAAAAAAAAATTTAAAAATAAAAATTAAGAATAAAAATAAAAACCACCTCTTCTCATCCTCAGAAGGTGGCTTCTTCTTTTGTGGTTCGCATTCCTGTTCAGCATCTTCATTTACAGACATAGTCCCTGAAAACAAGCCAAATCACTGAATTCCCTGAACAGAGCTTCAGCTCCCAAAACCTACAACTACAAACAACAATCAATTACGTTCAAAATTGAGTTTCCAGCAAAACACATTTACCAAGAAAGGCACTGTGATTGTGCTAAATTGTTGTTACAAGACAGAAAAATTTTCAGTACTGGGAGAAAATTAAGTTTGCAATTTTGTTTCTTTCTCTCTTTGTTTGTTCCTTAAGAGTTCAAAAGGTTGCTAGTCAGCAAAAGTTTAGTTCGTTGCCAAGTTGGTGACCAAACAATATCAAATAACTTTCTGGAACTTTCTAGGATGCCAAAAATGCGCATTGAAATTTGTGGTGTAATCAAAGAGGAGGTTGATTTTCTTCTTCACCTGATTTTGAAGACGAACGGGTATGGATCGGGCCAAACTCGTGGACCTTTCTTCAACCTTCACTCTCAAAACCAGTGGGAAAATCGAGGAACGTAACCCGAGTGTCTTATACTCTTATTACTATTCGCATACCTAAATACATGAATGGGTATCTCAAAAAAAAAAAATATTAATAATAACAATAATAATTCACATTTACAAGTCACTAGTCAAACAAATCTTTATTACTAGTTATTACTGGAAGATGGGAGTTAGCTATGCAATTTAAATAACGGAGAATTCAATATTTTAAAATGGTATCAAAAATTGAAAATGGATCCTATGTGAAAAAAAAAATGATACGGTGATGTGAGAAGATTACAATCATAAAAAAGTAAATCAACGGTTATGATTTTGTAATTATTTATTATAATATTATTATTTTTTTATCACTATTTATTCACATTTGTATGATTATAATTCCTAACATGACCATGTCATATTTTTTTCACATGAGAGGATCCAAATTCTCAAAAATTATGGAAAAATAGATAAAAATATCACGTGTTTATTTTAAACTTCCATGAACTGGTTTTTTCCACACTTAACTGGTTAATAAAAATTTATTAAAGACAAATAATGCGGACTCTTTATTAAAGATAAAAATTTATCTTCAAATGGTCTCTTAAGGTGCGCATGACAACCTTTCAGGAATCATTTTTTTTTAATTTCTGTTCTAGGGAACAGAAATGAATAAAAAACTCGTTTGGTAAAACTGGTTTATTTTTTTGTCCCCGGGATGAACTGGATTAATTTTTGTGCTGGGAACAGAAAAAAGAATCAGAAAATTTCTGTTTTTTTATTCCCGGGAACAAAATGAGAAACACTTATATCTCTTAATCACTTTTCATCTCTACTATCATCACCACTACCACCATCATTCCAACACGATCACTGCCACCATTGTCGTCGTCGTTGTCGTACCACTAGTGCTGTCGTGACCGCCACCGCCACCATCACCACCACCTCCACCCATCACTACCACCATGCCACCATCACCACATCCACAACTACCACCACTACCGCCATCAACCACCACCACCATCATCGCAACCACTGCCGCCACCATCGCCATCACCACGCCACTGCCACCACCACTACCACCACCACTATCATTGTTGCAGCCACCATCGTCGTCGCCGCCACCTCCGCCACCAACCACCACCACCACCATCGCCACCATTACACCACCCTCGCCGCCACCACTGTCACCATCACCGCCACCACTGTCACCTACCACCACCGCAGCCACTGTCACCACCACCACCATCTCCATGATGCAATCACAACCACCACCACCATGCCACCACTACCATTCTCGCTGCCACCAATGTCACTAACCACAATTGTTGCAGCCACTGCTGTCACCTCCACCACCACCACAACGCCACCGCTACCATCACCACCACTATCATTGCTACAGCCACCACCGACACCGCCGTCGTCGCCACCAACTACCACCACCATCGTCACAGTCACTACTGTCACCACCACCACCATCGTCACCATTACACCACCACCGCCACCATCACCACCACCACCACCACTGTCACCTACCACCACCTCCATCGCCGCAGCCACCACCACCACCATCTCCATGATGCCATCACAACCACCATTACCATGCCACCGCTACCATTGTCGCCGCCACCAATGCCACCAACCACCATCCCCTCCACCATTGTCGCAGCCACTGCTGTCACCTCCACCATCACCATCCCCACCACTACCACCACCATCGCCGCAACCACTGTCATCACAACCAGCACCACTATCATCACCACGTCACTGCCACCACCACTGTCATACTGCCGCCGCCGCCACCACCACCACTATGCCACCCTCCGCCGCCACAACCACACCATATGGAAAGGAAAGTGATGATCCAAAAAAAATTTATATTTAATAGGAATTATTTTTTATTATATTATTTGTTGTGTTATTAAACGCAATTCTCATTCTCGGAATAAAAATTGAATATGTTATCAAACACATTTTTTTTTTCTCAGAAACTGTTTCAAGAAACATAAATAGAAAAGAATTGTTTCATTTTAGAAACAGTGCTAGAGAATAGAATGGTTGTCATGCACACCCTTAGACTCTTATTATTCATTTTAGAAGAGAGAAGCCACTGCAGGACAAAAATGTTCACACCCGTTAGATGCCCTTTTGACTTCATTGTACATTTATTTATTTATTTATTTTATATGATTTCTACTCCTACTATGACATTTATTAGTTAGCATCTTTATTACTTGAAGAGAGAAGTCATGAGAGGATAAAAAAACTCGTTGGGTAAGATCTATTTTGTAAAAAAAATTATAAGTTAAAAGTTGTAATTGTTTTTTACTTTTAGAATCAAATTTAAAGAATAAATCTGGTTGTTTTTTTTTTCTGTTTTTTTTTTTAACTTTCAAAACAAACAAAAACATAGGCCCTTTTTTATTCCTATTCTCAAAAATAGTTTTTAAGTTTTTAAAACAAAAAAAATAATAAAACCTTTTTGGATATAATTGTTTTGCAAAATGATTTTCAAAATAATGATTATTTTCTAGTTTTAAAAACCAGAACAACATGCAGGTGTTCTCCAAAGCTATTTTTTGATTTTTGTTTTTGTTTTGGCGGTGGTGATTTCATAAATATTTGGATTCATTAATTACAATTTTGTAAATATTAGGACTCAAAACAATTACTTTATGGTGGCATTCTTGTAATTCTAAAACTTCATTAATGTCATTTTTATAAATAATTACAACTTTTTATTAGACAAAAGAAAGAGTACTGAATATCCTTTATTTCTCATATCAGATAGTATAGAGATGGTGTTATATATATACACATGTGAGGAAGGATCTAGACCTTTTAGCCTAACAGAAAGTAGGAAAAATAACAAACTCTGCAAAAGAACAAAAATAAACTTTTTACAACAGAATTCCTATTCTCCAATTTACAATCGTACTCTACAATTCTAACACTCGCTCTCAAGGTGAGAAGTAGATATTTATAATTCCCTTCTAGACAAGAAGTTGAGTAAAATGTGCAGGATATAGAGGCTTTGTCAGCAAGTCTGCTAATTGATTTTGTGAGCCAATGTGCAATGGTTTGACTTTACCTTTGAGAACATTTTCCCTAACCAAATGACAATCAATCTCTATATGCTTTGTTCTTTCGTGAAACACTAAATTTTCTGCAATATGAATGGCTGCCTGGTTATCACAAAACAATAAAGTTGGACTATCATTCATTATGCACAAATCATGTAACAAAGAATTTATCCAAATTAATTCACAACAAACATTAGACATCGCCCTATATTCTGCCTTTGCAGAGGATCTTGACATAATATTCTATTTTTTTGATTTCCATGACACAAGTGATTCTCCAATAAAAACACAAAAACCAATAATTGACCTTCTTGTATCTACACATGATGCCCAATCAGAATCTGCAAAAGCTTTTAATTTCACACTGTTGTTTGCTGCATAAAATAAACCTTGACCAACAGTCCCTTTAATATATTGAAGCAATCCATGTGCTGCCGCATATAAGGTTCTCTAGGATGAGCAAGAAATTGGCTTAATTTATTTACTGCATAGGACAAATTTGGTCTAGTAATGGTCAGGTATAACAGCATACCAATTAGCCTCCTACAACATGTAGGATCATCAAGTAACTTTCCTTCTTCTAAGGATAATTTAACATTCAGTTCCATAGGACAAGTTTTTGGTTTACATCCCAAAAAACTAGAATCTACCAAAATCTGAAGAGCATGCCCTCTTTGACTTAAGGCAATGCCTTTTTTACTACGGACTACTTCAATACCAAGAAAATACTTCAGATCTCCAAGGTCTTTAAGCTTGAAATGCTTATTCAAGAAAAGTTTCAGATTAATAACTCTTGAAGAGTCATTACTGGCCACAATTATGTCATCAACATATACCAAAAGAGCTAAAAAAAATTTCCTTCAATTTTGATGAAAAGAGAACAATCTGCACCTGATTGTTTGATGCCAGTAGCTATTAAGGCAGAAGAAAACTTAAGGAACCATTGTCTAAATGTCTGTTTTAAACCATGTAAGGATTTGTGTAGTTTGCAAACAAGGTTAGTAGGTAAACACTCCCCCTCTCGGTGATAGCCAGGAGGAGGAAGCATGTAAACTTCCTTAAGTCACCATGCAAAAAGGCATTATTGATATCTAAATGAGTCAATGACCAACCATAAATAGATGCCAATGCCAACAAGATGCGAACTGAACTGATTTTAGCAACCGGGGAAAAAATGTCAAAATAATCAATGCTCTCTTGTTGAGAAAAACCTTGAGCAACCAATCTTGCCTTATACCTTTCTAGAGAACCATCAGAATTCAACTTATATTTATTCACCCATTTATAGCCTATAGGACGTTTACAAGAGGAAGGGGTACCAAGGACCAAGTCCCATTGGACTCCAAGGCATCCAATTCCAGCTGCATGGCCTGCTGCCAGCGGGGGTCTTTGGTGGCTTCATAGAAAGAGGGAGGCTCAATGTGACAAGAAGCTGAATTAACAAAGGACCTAAAGGAAGGGGATAAATGAGTATATGGCAAAACAAAGGATAAAGGATAGGGGCAGGGTGTACAACTAGAACATATAAAGAGCCTGTTTGGATCCTCTCTTTTTTAAGCTAGAAGCTACTTATAAGCTAAAGCTAAAATTAAGATCTTAAAAAAAGCTAAAAGTTGTTTGGTAATTACATAAAAATTTTAGTTTAAAAGTTACTTAAAAGCACATATTTCAAGAAAATTATCTCTCTCTATCTTTATAACTCTTCATTTTAAAAAAAAGAACACAATTCAAGAAAAGCGTATAAGAGCTTAAAAAAAAGCTCCTCCTAGGAGCTTTTAACTTTCAACTTTTTTCTTCATTATAAAAAAGAGCTTTTCGTTATAAGAGCTTTTCCCAAAACCTGTTTGGCCTAGCTTATGCTTATAAGTAGCTTTTAGCTTAAAAATAAGAGGATCCAAACAAGCACAAAATCCCTCAAGTGGGGGGGAGGTTTGGTTTTACGGATAGGCCTAGAAGAAGAGATAGGATGCTGAGTGGGAAGGATGGAATCAGAAAAAATTGAAGAATTGGGGGAAGGCTGAGTAAGAAAAGGGAAAATAGTTTCATGCAAAACAATGTCACGGGTAATAAGAATTTGGTTGGTAGTGATATCAAGGACTTTATATGCCTTGTAGGCATGGGGTAGCCAAGAAAAACAATGGGTAGAGCCCTTGGAGAAAACTTGTGCCTATCACGGGGTAAAGTAGAGGCAGCCAAAAGATCGAAGATGAGAATAGGAAGGAGGCTTGCCATGTAGAATCTGAAAAGGGGAAAGGTCCTTGAGTAAGGGTGAAGGAAGATGATCGATAAGGTAAACAGCGGTATGCACATAATCAGTCCAATAAGCCAAAGGAATATTTGATTGAAAAAGAAGAGAACGAGCAACATTTAGAATATGCTGATGTTTACGCTCAACAACAGAGTTTTGTTGGGGTCGGTCAACACAAGAATGATAAGGGACAATGCCTTTGGAACGAAGAAAAGTTGTGAAATTAAATTCGGGTGCATTGTCAGAGGGAACAGTTTTTATTTTAACATTAAATTGAGTTAAAACTAAGGTATAAAATTCTGGAACAATGGTTTGAACTTCTGATTTATAGCGCAAAAAATAAATCCAGGTGAAACAGCTACAATAATCAACAATGGTCAAGAAATAACGAAAATCTTCTATAAAGGTGGTAGAAAAAGGACACCAAACATCCAAATGCAATAAATCAAAAGGAAAAGGAGACAAATAATTGTTGGAATTAAAAGGTAAACGCCTCTGCTTAGAGAGAGGACAAATAATATAAGAGGAATGACTAAGATCAGATACATCATTTAAATCTAAAAAATTCTTCAAAACTGCCAAACGAGATGAAGAAGGATGACCAAGACGAACATGCCAAAGAGGTGAAGCAGAATCCATGTGATAAGTGTCAAAGACACTATGTTTTTAATATCAAATATAGTCCAAATAATAATTAATATGATTATTAATATAGTGTTAATTAATAAATCTAAAAGATAATAAAATACAAACAACTTGATAAGATTCTAATCCCTTTTCATATTATTTCAGGTTTAATGTAACAAATCACTAATCTAATGGAAAAGGCAGTTGAGATCAGTTGCAAAGGATAAGGATCAAGAAAAATAAAGAATTAATCAAAATTAATCCTCAGCGAGCCTGGTCCAAATTAAAAAGCCCATTTTTATTTCTATAAAAACATACGTTAAGGATCATTCCAAAAATTTGGAAGACGAGGCAGAGGAGTGGAGGAACGGTCAAAGCTTCACCGTTGAGACCAGATTTTATTTTCCTTTTATGAATTTTAGTTTCTTTTCATCTATTGTTCTTGTTTTCTTGACTATGTCAGGCTACTTTTCTTTAAGTAGTTAGGGCGAGACGGAACCAATAAGTTTTTAAACGCTGTTTACTTTTCTTATGATTTATATTCTTGATTTAAAGTTATGCAATTAATCTGTTTTAAATTCCTAGTCTCGTTTACGATCTGGTCAATCTTGAATGCGCATTAGAATCTTGCATGACAATAGGGATGTTGGTATTTTGATTCCGATTGATTAATTGCTAGAATTTGTATGATCTAGGGATAGACTTATGAATTCTATAACTGTAAGGTTCTTGCGTTAATGCTTGCTTTATGAAAAAGTACTAAGGGATTAGGCTTTTGAGTGAAGTAAAAGATCAGATTACCAAGAGATTGTGATCTAATCAAATATAGAAAGAACTGTTAATAACTTAATCTTGAATGTTAATTATAAGAATAGGTAAACTCGTTAGGAGACATTGGGGAAGTTGAGTCCTAGCTACGTCTTTTATTAAAACTTAAAACCAATTTTCTAGCATTATTATTTTTGAATTTAATTTCTTAAGTATTGAAAATTAAAAATAGGTTTAAAAATTCTGTTTTAATTAAATTAAAATATTCTCAAGGAAAACCTTTCACGATCGATCCAACTTTAATAAAATAGACAAATTAGTGATTGGTCATCAGTTCTCGTGGAATAGATAACTTTATTTTACCACTTTATTACTTGTATGACTGGTGCACTTGCTGAAGTCGCAACACCATGGCACGATGCGAAGCAACAGAAAGAAATGAATCTTGAAGAACATAGAGATTGCCAAGACGTTTAGCAGTCCCAATCATTTTTGCCGGGGAAGGATCATGTATAAAACACGAAGAAGGAGAAAAAGTGACAGCGACGCCCAAAGCAGAGGTAAGGGCACTAACTGATAAAAGATTATAACGAAATTGAGGAACATAAAGAACAGGGAAAAGGGTGAAATGATGAAAAGAAACAGAACCAATGCGACCAACAATAACAGAAGAACCATCAGGCAGTGAAAGAGAAATAGACGAAATAGGAGAAAAAGAAATAAAAAAAATCAAGGGAACAACAAACATGGTGAGTCGCACTGGTATCTAAAATCCAAGAATTAGAAGAGAGGGACGCATGAGAGCTACCTGAAATATATGCAACTGATGGAACCGAGGAAGGAGAAGATTCATTTTCTCCAGGCTCGTGGGAGAAGATGGAAACTGTGTAGAGATTAGAGCACATAATTGGGAAAATTGCTCTGGGTGAAAGAAGATGAAAATGGGCTGGGTGAGGTAAAAGGTCCATCAAGGTGAATGGAGGCAGCAGACAATTGGGCTGGGTTGGAGGAATTTTTAATACAGGCCTTATATCCTGGTGGGTACCCATGTAACTTGAAGTGTTTCTCAATAGTGTATCCTTGTTGAGAGCAGTGCGTGCAGAATGGCCGATCACGACGGGGCCGTGGTGAAGCAGCAGCGTTGATTGCCGAAGAAACCTGAAGATCCAGAGCAGGAAAAAGACCATGATGAATGGAACGCTGATGTTCTTCCTGAATAACAAGGGAAAATACCCAAGTCAAAGGAGGAAGAGGATCCATGAGAAGGATTTGAGGCCGTGTGGAGGAGAAAGATTCATTGAGTCCTATGAGGAACTGGAGGGATGAATCTTGCTTGCGGTACTAATTCCAAGTCCTGAGACCACCACATTGACAAACCGAGACTGGCTGAAATTCACGGAGCTCATCCCAGAAGGTTTTAAGACGTGTGTAATAGGAAGTAACAATAAGAGAACCTTATTGAAGGGTAGCAATCTGGGACTTCAATTTGAAGATGCGAGGAGCATTACCTTGCTGGAACCGATCACGGAGGTCAATCCAAACATCATGAGCCGTAGGAATATACATCAGACAATCGACAATTTCACGAGACACAACATTGAGAATCCAATAATAGACCATATTGTTGCAGCGAACCCAAATAGAATAAAGAAGATCATCAGGATTGGGTTGAGGAAGAGAACCATCAACAAATTGAAATTTGTTTTTAGCTGTGAGGGCCATGGTCATGGCACGATGCCAGGTGTGGTAATTTGGTCCAGATAAAGTATGGGTAACAAGAATGAGGCCAGGGTGATCGGCGCTGTGTAAAAATAAGGACTAGAAGAATCCTCCATCTGTGAAGAGGAAGAGTTGCCAATAGAGGGCTTATGTGGTTGCTGGCCCTTGGCCATGAAGGGTGGCAAGGGGCGAACAGAAGGTTATGCTCTTGATACCATATTAGAAAAAAGAAAGAGTACCGAATATCCTTTATTTCTCATATCAGATAGTACAGAGATGGTGTCATATATATACACATGTGAGGAAGGATCTAGACCCTTTAGCCTAACATAAAGTAGGAAAAATAACAAACTATGCAAAAGAACAAAAACAAACTTTTTACAACAGAATTTCTATTCTCCAATTTACAATCGTACCCTACAATTCTAACATTTTTATAACTTTAATTTAACTACACTCAAACAAGTTTTTTTGTTTTTTTACTCTCAAAATCAGTTTTTAAAATTCATATTCAAAACAATTTTTGAAAACAAAAACACTTTCAAATATACCAATAGAAAACAATTGTTTTCATAACTATTCTACAAAACAGTTTTAAGAACAAAAGAATCAAAACACAATAAAATAGACCCTTATTTTTTTCCTTCTCATTTCACTCTCTTTTTCTCTTCTACAACTTTCAGGTTGTTCAATTTCTTTTACCTATACTGAATTTAAGTAATCTGTTGGTAATTGCAAGATAAAATATTTCATGTAACAAGTCTAATCTATACATATCCGCATTAAACCCTATATTCATGCAATAAAAAAAATTCTAATTTGAATGGTAATCCTACTAAGCTACTACCACTTGATGAGAATTTCCACCCTTTGTTACTAGGACTCATGTTACGAGGGGTGGCAATTTTTGACATGACACGTGCATATTATGTGAAAATTTCATATTCGGATAAACTTATTTTCAAATTTGCGTATGTTTGAGTTTAAAAAAACTGATCCGAAAAAATTCTTGTTGTGTTGCGTATCAACCCGCAAACCCGAAATTAACCCGAATTAATTTTCTTACAGGTTATTCGTGGTTGACATGTTATTTGTGTAGTGCCAACTCGTATAATAAATGATACACTATAAGTTTGCATGTTATTCGTGTTGTGTCGTGTTAACCGGCAAAATAAGTGGGTTGTATGGTTTTATTCTGATTTCAAATTCATGTCATATTCGTATTTAGTGTATTCGTATTCATATCATGTTGTATCGGTGAGTGTAGACCGGAATTGCCACCTCTAAGCATAACTTCACGGGAGTGACATAATACACCAATTAATACAATTCAATTACCATGTTCCTCATCATAAACATTAACATTGACATAATTACCTAATAACTCAACTAAACTCCTAAAGTATGTAGAACAAGTAAGACCAAGAACATTAATTGTCTTCTTCCCTAGCAGCTAGAAGAATCATTATACATGTCCAAGTCAAAGAGCAAGTCATCCCAATCCCACTGGCTGCTACTCTGTCCATTACTCATTGCTTTAACTTCTTCAAATTGAAAGTCCATTGGCAACACACCAACAATATTGCCCTGTTGGTCCAAGCATGAATACATGTTGTCTTCCTCTATTGCAAGCATTTGGCTATGTCCATCAACATCAAATGTTGGCGATGAGGAAATGCCACTCTCGTGTGGTACTTGTAGAAAACTTGGAGACTCACCCTGGCTCCTTTTGTTGACTGAGCTTGAATCAATGCTTCTAGGCTGGGTCTTAATAACATCAAGGTTTATGTCAATTTCTCTCTCTTCTTCTGCTTCTTGAGCATTTAATTTTTTACTCAGATGACAGTTCCAATAGTTCTTCACATCATTTGCAGTCCTTCCTGGTAACCTTGCTGCAATAAGTGACCACCTACATAGAGAAAGCCAGAGAGAGAAGTCTGTGTTAGAGGAAGATGCAAAAACAAACATGAGCACATAAGGGAACCTTCTACCATTTTAAGACTCAAAACATAAGAAAAATATCAGAAGAAATTAAGACAAAAGACTACAACATGTGAAAGGCTGAAAGCTAACCTGTTGCCCAATAACTTGTGGAGTTTGACAATCATTTCCACTTCTTCGTCTGTGAAATTTCCTCTTTTGATGTTGGGACGTAGATAGTTCAGCCATCTTAGCCTACAGCTTTTTCGGCACCTATTTAGACCTTTACCAGCTCAATGTTGGAAGATTAATCAATCAGTTGAAAAAAAATATATATATATATATATTGTGCAAAGAAAAATAAATGATAATTCACCATTCTTTTGAACTTCAATTAGTCGTTCTTGGTTAAAAATATGTAAGTTCAACAGTATTCTCCTACTATACAGCAAAATGAAAATGTCCTTGTGTTTGAAAGCACAATTATGGTCGTGCTCTCTTATGTTGTTACATAATTTAGTAAATGTAGTTACATTTTGTATCTAATTATAACTCATCAAGCATAAATAATTGCTAATCTTGAACAAATCAGTGCACAATTACAAAATTGAATCTTAAGAGTTAGAGCTCTCTTTGGGAAATACAACGTTCAATAAAGGGCGAAGGGCAAATTTCGATCCATAAGACGCTTGACTTATGGAGATGAGGGTGAGGGTCGATTATAAGTGATCCTACTCTTATATTTTTTTTACAAAGAGATAATTTTTCAGACTGGAACTCGTGACTTTTTTGGTCACAAGGAACAATTTTATAGGTGTTCGAAGGCTCGCCCTCTGCAATGTCATGTCTAATAAAGAAGAAAGAAATATTGAACTCAGTTTACCAGCCAAATGAGGCACGCGATGCCACTTTCCTTCTCCATATTGTTGTATGCATTTCTTAAGCAAGTGATCTTCTTCTGCTGTCCATGCAACACCACCCATATCTCCTGTTATACTATGTCACTCTGCTACCATTACCTCTCTCACTCTCTTCCACCTTCAACTTCTTTTATACATAAATACACACACACATACTCTTGCGTCTTGTAGTTTGTGCTAAACATGCCAGCAAGGCTCTAGACATATGCACTTTGCGTGCAAGAAAATCATAGTAAATGGTCCCTTGGTCTTTCTAAAACTCTGCGGCTTCGCTCCTTGTTTTTTGAATAGACATCATAAGTATGCAATTGTGGTCCTGATATTCAAAAGTTTGAGCTGTTCACAACATATATAGACTCATCTAGTTCCTTTAAAACCAAACCCATCCTATCTGTATGTTTTGTCATTTGTCATCTCCTTTATATTAAGTATGGTATGAATAGCTATAATTTTTTTTTTTTTTTTTGTTAAATTGTTTTTAGATATGGGCAAAAAGGCAAAAAAGGTTCATATATATATATATATATATATATATATATATATATAGGGCTTATCGTTTCTCAAACTGGTTGAGATAATTTTATCTCCGGCTATTAAGTTATAACCGTATAAAGATGGATCAATGGTGATAAAGGAAGAGAGAAAAAAAGGAAATCATAATCATTCAAAGGTGAATCAATTAATATAAGAAAATAAATAAATAACACGACGTAGTTTTGAGGTAACCGGAGATAAACTTATCTCAAGCTGCTTAAGAAATGTTTTTCCATATATATATATATATATATATATATATATATATATATATATATATATATATATAAGGAAGGTTATACTTATAACATTTTTTTTATAACCTCTTACAACCATATCTTAACACCGTTGGTTTCTGCCAATCAACGGTTATCATTTATTGTGAATTAATAATTAATTAACGAGCTTAATTTGCGAAAATGATAACCGTTGATTGGCGGAAATCAACGGTGTTAAGATATGGTTGTAAGAGATTGTAAAAAAAAAAGTTGTAAGTATAACCTTCCTCTATATATATATATATGAGGTAGGATCCTTTGACACCGGTGTCAAATTTCAATTTTGACACCTCATCTGAGAGCCGTTAGATCAAAAAAGATCAATGATGTCACATGCTTGCAAATCAGAGTCGTTGATCTTTTTTGATCTAACGGCTCTCAGATAAGGTGTCAAAATTGAATTTTGACACCGGTGTCAAAGAATCCTACCTCTATATATATAGATATATATATAGGAAAAACATTTCTCCGGCAACATGAGATAAGTTTATCTCCGGCCACCTCAAAACTACGTCGTTTTGTTTATTTATTCCTTATATTAATTGATTCACCCTTGAATGATTATGATTCCTTTTTTCTCTCTCTTCCTTTATCACCGTTGATCTATCTTTGTACAGTTATGATTTAGTAGCCGAAGATAACTTTATCTCCTGCAGCTTGAGAAATGATAAGCCATATATATATATATATATATATATATATATATATATATATAGAGAGAGAGAGAGAGAGAGAGAGGGGCAGGATCCTTTGACACCGGTGTCAAATTTGAAGTTTGACACCTCATCTGAGAGCCGTTAGATCAAAAAAGATCAACGACTCTGATTTGTAAGCATGTGACACCATTGATCTTTTTTGATCTAACGGTTCTCAGATAAGGTGTCAAACTTCAAATTTGACACCGGTGTCAAAGGATCCTGCCTCATATATATATATATATATATATAGACTAAGCTTATTGGTTTCTGCACTCTTGCCTCAAATCTAAATAATCTAATGGTTGAGTTTTTTTTTATTTGATTTTCGCATATGTAGCAGTATATACTTTTAAGAAATGAGACAATAATTGTTTTTCATTTTTCATGTTTTTTTTTTTATACACATTGAATGTGCATTTACTTCGATATGAAAATATTTTCGCTACTACTATCAAATATGGAGAAAAAAATTATATTATCCTCTATCTTTATAATTATTTTCTTTCATATCTTTTATTTTCATTTTCGGTAAGAGAATAAATACTCTCGTTGCACAAAAAATAAGCCCCTTTGGAGTCAGCCGATGGAATCTTTCATATCATCATGGATCGGTACTAGTTAAACTACAAACTCTTTTCCAATATATTTGTACAAACCTTTATAATTTTGTGTTAAAGATAGCCTGACCGAGGGTGAAAACTCACATTGATTAAAAATAAAAAAAAAGTGATGATCATATTAGTGAAGGTTTTTGGTTAAAATATAGTATCGAACTCACTTATTTGGTTTGTGAGTCTATTAAATGGAAGTATCCTTTGTAAGGATTTTGAGCTCCCTGATACTACTTAATATAGTATTAGAGTCAAAATATTAAGCATAAGTGATGAAATCTTATATTGGTTAAAAATGAATCAAGAGAAAATCGTATGAGTGAAAAGTCTCATAAACTCACTTATTTTAATTTGTCACTTAGTACATAAAATGAGAATTATCCTTTACAAGGGTCTTGAAGTGTTGGGCTTCCCCTACCCTTTATCCCGAAAGATAGTGACTGAGACCAACTACTAGCATTTATATGCCTAGAATTTAAAGCAAGCACGATTAATCATGGAAAATCATGAATTCATTAGTTAAATTACGTAAAACCACGAGTACTTACATGCTTTTTTTAGTACATGAAAAAGGTAGTGAAATATATTAATGAATTGTGTTTTACGACTGTACAAGAGCTCTATTTAAATAGACTAAACGATCTAATGGGCTAAGCCCAAAGAAGATTCTAGAATGAATAAATAAATAACTAATTACAATTATTTACAACACTCCTCTCAAACTGAGAAATAGATATTTATTATTCTCAGCTTGCTAGTAAGCTCTTGAAACCTTTCTGAGGGAAGTCCCTTTGTCAGAATATCAGCTAATTGTCGTCCAGAAGGAATGTATGGAGTGATGATCAACCCGCTATCAAGCTTCTCTTTGATGAAATGGCGGTCTACCTCAATGTGCTTAGTCCGATCATGTTAAATTGGATTATGAGCTATACAAACGGCGGACTTCTTTTCATAAAGAAGCATAATAGGTCCTTCACATCTTATTTTGAGATCATCAAGTATAATTCTCAACCATAATAATTCACAAATGCCTTGAGCCATAGCCCGAGATCCAGCCTCTGCACTTGACCTGGCAACCACATCCTGCTTCTTACTCCTCCATGTCACTAGGTTACCACAAAGAAACATACAATAACTAGTGATAGATTGACGATCAGTTACAAATTCAGCATAATCAGCATCAGTAAAAACTTCTAAAGAAAGATTGCCATCACGCCGGAATAACAGTCCTTTAACAGGAGTGGCTTTAAGATACTAAAAAAATTCTCTCCATCGCATGCATGTGTTTTACCATTGCCCTAAGGAAAGGAAAAAGATCCTGTATCCAAAGATCTTGTCTCTCTTATACTCAGCATCCTATCTCTCATTTTGTCTTTTCTACTAACTTTTATGTGCAACACAAAAGCTTTATTTCAGCACTAGATTCTATCTCAATCCCAAAATCAGTACATAAAGCATTAAAAGATGGGAATTGGGGAAAGCCACGCAAGAAGAGATGAATGCCTTGGAGAAAAATAAAATATGGGAGGTTGTTGATAGACCTAATGAAAATAAAGCAGTAGGGTGCATATCGATTTATGCTCTAAAGTATAATTTTGATGGTACTCTTGAGAGATATAAGGCTCGATTAGTCGCCAAAGGTTACACTCATACCTATGGAATTGATTATGAATAAACTTTTTCCCCAGTTGCAAAGATGAATACTGTGAGAGTCTTGTTGTCTCTTGCTGCCCAATACAATTGGGATATAAATCAATTTGATGTAAAGAATGCTTTTCTTAATGGTGAGTTAGAAGAAGAAGTTTACATGGAGATTCCGCCTGATTTTGACTCTATGGATGGAGAAAATAAAGTTTGTAGGTCAAAGAAGACCTTGTATAGATCGAAGGCTGAAGCAGTCTCCTGGTGCCTAGTTTGGGCGGTTTACTAAGATTATTATGACCTTAGGATACAAACAGAGTCAAGAAGATCACACATTTTTCTTTAAGCACTCTCAAGATGGGAAGCTCACTGTACTCCTTGTGTATTTCGATGACATTATTATAACAGGTGATGATATTATGGAGAGACATATTTTACAAGCGCGACTAGCCTCTAATTTGAAGTTAAAGACCTTGGGAGATTGAAATATTTTCTAGGGATAGAAGTAGCTCATTCAAAGGAAGGAATTTTTATCAGTCAGAGAAAATATGTCCTTGATCTTCTTAAAGAAGCAGGAAAACTTGGGTGTAAACCCTCTAGTACTCCTACTGAGCAGAATTATAAGATGAGTTATGAAGAGGAGAGTCCTCCAGTTGAGAAAGGACAATACCAGCGGCTAGTTGGGAGATTGATATATCTGGCTCATACTAAACTAGACCTAGCTTATGTTGTTAGTATTGTGAGTCAGTTTATGCTCTAAAGTATAATTCTGATGGTACTCTTGAAAGATATAAGAGTCCTCCACTGGTAAGTCCTGAATCTCTTATTTCTGATTCTAATATTATTGCCTCTAATGACTTGCCTATTGCTTCTGATATTGCCTCTCATGATTTTCCTATTGTTTTTGATACATCTGATGACTTACCCATTGCCCTAAGGAAAGGAAAAAGATCTTTAGATACAATAAGATGACTACCAACAATAGGTTGATAAGAAAGAAAAGACTTATCAAGACAAGTCATATGATCAGTTGCACCAGAATCCAAAATTCATGAGGTTTTAAAATCAGTGCAAGAAGCAAGAAAAGATGTAGTACGTGTGTCCTTACTAGACAAGATCAAAGTACTGTCAGATGGCTTACACAGATTATCAATAGCGGCCTTAAGCTGCTCCAACTCCCCTTGCCGAATATTCACATGTGGAGTAGCATTATCACACTTCCCATGAAGACGAAAACACATGTCTCTTATGTGTTCGAAGCTTTTATAATAGGTGCACCAACGTCCCATGGACAAATAAAAAAAATGCA